TTTAGATGACAATTCTGCAAAGCAGCGTGTACTAAACAGGCTGATGCAGTTGAAAATAGTTGTCATTCAAGCCGTTTTTGAGATATTCTCCTTGCCCCAAACCCACGTGTTTACTGCTATGAGAGGCTAGCTCTTCCTCCTAGCCAACTTTTGGTATTTCACTATCAACCTATTGCTGAGTAACTATGGAAAGTGTACATACCTGACTTCAATTTCAAGAACAACACAAGCCCGAAACACCTAGTTCACCAATATATCCATATCTTTAATTAGTATACGAGAATTGCCGAAAAAGTCACACCTTAGCCTTACGTTAAGAAATTTTTAGGGGCCACATTACGAAACTGTACCCTGCCACCTGTAAGCGAAAGACGACAAGGTGCTGTTCAAACAAATCTCGTATCCGCTACGCAGCGAGAACGATATTCCGAATGTGCATACCAAGTGACATGTTACATTGTCGAGATTAGTTCGACGACGTCACCTTTAGAATAATGTGACAATGATTTACAGTAGAGCTTTGATTATCCGTCAGGGTGCGGGATTGAGACCATGACGGATATGAAAATAGACAGATAATATATGTGCCTTAAAAGTATTAATCATTAGACCGGGTCATCAAAACATATTATCTACATGTGTACATAAATTTGTTTTTAATATTTTTACTTGAAATGCACTGATGGTTGAAAGAGACTGGCCGTTAATCGTGTGCCGGATGGTCGAAATTCTACTGTACCAGGTATGATGTTATTTATTTCTTCTGAATTAGCAAAATAATTTATTTGGACTCTGATAGAATATTGTAAATTTTCCGAGTGAGAGATTGTAACTGACAGACGGGCTTGCGTTGATTTACACTCAAGTCAATTTCCAAAGCTATAACACATGAATTAACATTAGAGAGTCCAACTCGATGCTCTCCCATTTCTAATTTAAATGAAAAATAAAATGGATCTGTGTGATGATTAGTAGAGTCAAACATATCGTCTGGTATATGTACTCCTGCTTTTTCTTTCTTTCCTTTTTGTTTTATAAAAATCCACTCAAACCACCACAGCCCATAAATCAAATCTTATGCTTAGACCAGACTTTTGCCATCGTACTTTTCAACTACTATTAAGTAAAAAAAAAAAAACTTAAAATCAGGTAATTTCTCTACTGTTCTAAATAGCATCAACTTGCGTGGATTAGACTACGTATAGTCCTTGCCTCCATGGGAACTAAGTGTAGCATTGTCAATTGGATTACGTGTAGTCTTTTTGTCAATTGGACTACGTGCAGAAACTATACGTGCAGTGCTTGTCTGAATAGTGGCTGCGTAACCCTTGTGTGGATTGGACTATTGTAGTCAATGTCTGGATAGGACTACGGGTAGTTCTTCTAAAGACTGGACCATGTAAAATCATTATCCTTGTGTGGACTGGACTAGGTGAAGTCCTTTCCGGAGAGGACTATGTTACTTTATTATTAGCTCTTTTCGGTCTCTATAGTATTCTTATTTTACAAATATCTATTCGTATTCATTTAATAAACGATGCACAATTTATATAATTATATTAATCAATGTTTAACAATACAAATGGCTATTTTAAAAAAAAAAAATCAGCGAATCTTCTTTCTCCCCTCCCATCTCATTGGCATTACTATTCCCTTAAATAGCCTATATTTAAACAACTTTCCTAGCTATTAGCATAGGACTGTTAAATATATTGTAAACGTGTCATGAAAACTAGATGAAGAATGTCGAGATTTGTTATAGATTTATTAGCTATTTATACACCATAATTATACTTTTTCCTGTCATAATCAGCGCAAATAACAAGTTTAATATGCCGTAAGGTTACGTTGAAGCTACCAGACATTGACGTATTAAACAATATCTTTTCAAACACTACAATCCAACCACTTAAACAGGCATGGCCCTAGGACAAGGCTAACGAAACAACCGCCTTCGGCTCCTCGCTTCTTCTCCTCAATGCCTTTTTTTTTTTTTTTTGGCTTAGGACTGGGCCTGCGTGTAAATCCTAGCACGAAGTTGGCGACAGTGTTGATAAATTTCTCAATTTCTCACTGGAATTTCAATCATAGGACAGTTCATTAATAGATAAGTCTTCGTGTTAAACCATTTTATAAGCCTTTGGTGTGACTCGGTCGGGGTTCGATTCCATGACCTCCTTATAATATGGCGGACGCTCAACCACCTGGGTCACCGTATCGGTCTGTATATTATATTATATTATATTATATTATATTATATTATATTATATACAGGTTTGCCTGTTTAAATTGTTGGATTGTAGTGTTTTTTAAAAGATATTGTTTAATACATCAATGTCTAGTAGATTCAACGTAACCTTGCGGCATATGAAACTGTGTGTGTGTGTGTGTGTGTGTGTGTGTGTGTGTGTGTGTGTGTGTGTGTTACATTGTTTGATTGTTTTTTTTTGGGGGGGTCTAAACAAGACATTTTTTCCTATCTTCGTATTGATGAAGGTGATTATTGCGAGGGATCAGTCTATTTCATTCTGAATTGTATCTCTTTTTGTTGATACATTGTTTTTTAACGTAATCATTTCATACATTTGTAGCTGTATATTATAAGATGTGCAATAGAGAAGGTACAAGTATAGAACGATAATGGCTGATAACATTTTTTTTTTTAAACTAGTGGTTGAGTCCCACGGGTTGTATCAAGGATTCCTCGACTGACAAAATAATATGTCTGGCATATATCTGCCTTTTCTACTAAAGTACGTATTTTTTATTGTGATGAATAAAATGGGAATTCATTTACAACGGTCACTGATTTCATACTAGTTTTTTTTTGGTCATTGTGTATTTTCTTAATTAACGGAGCCTAAAATTACAACTATTAGCATGTAAAGTCTGACATTTTTGAAGTTAAGAAATGGTTATTATCCTCGAAAATGTTGGGAGCCAATGATTTGGACAATTAAAAAGTTGGAAATACTGTATATGTAAATATACGAATATATGGAGGACGATACTGTATTTTAATGAAATAAAAATTAGAATTATTAAATAATAAAATATATTTAGACGAGGTATATAAAGCAAGAAAATAAAAAATGAGTAACAGAAAGACGAGGATAAGTAATTAAACAAAGTGAAACTTAGAAAATATTTAAAATGTGTGCAGCAACATTGTGAAGGCAGTAGAGAAGATAACGAGCAAAGAATGGGAAGGAAAAACTTAAAGAAAAGAAGAAAACAGTAAAAGTGAACAAAACTTCCTTCTAGAGCGAGTTGTTTCCATGGTGAATCATCTGGGGAAAAAGAAGGAAAGTTGCTGTTTACTTTTATGCGTGTTGGTAATAGGCGCTTTTAAGTAATTCTTTTGAAATTTCATTAAAATCATGAACGGCATTGTACATACGAATGATTACTTCATATTGAAGCGCTGTATCACCATATAAGAATGTACTTAAAGTTAAAATTATTATATGGTGTGAGGTAAATAATGATATGGCGTGAGGAAAGTTATATAGTTTGAGATACTGACAACAGTTGGATGCGTTCTTGTTTGGCATCCGAGAAAGCAATTTTATTTAAACAATTTATATCGTGTGATTGAAATGGTGGCAGCCTGCTTATCTACTGACGTTTCACTCTTCAGCCATGTCAGGAATTTTAGTTTTACTTCGGGTGTAACCATTTTGATGATAGAATGCTTTCCAGTGGAGAAAACCTGTCAAAACTTTCACACGAACGCTCTTCTACGCCGAGAACGACATCCTCAGCCGGTGACATTGATTACCTCAATAATTAAGGATTTCTTTGCTGAAAATACCTCATTCTAGTAAAGTCTGTACTTAATTGCTGTTGTCAGGTATCCTTTTCCCCCAAGTGGTGTTTGGTGTTTTGAGGCACGTGAACACAAGAAGGCTATACAGTGCTAAAGTAAGGTGCCAGGGACGCATTCTCAGGTCGGCAGCTGTCTTAGGCGTAATTAAATGGCCAGTCTGATTAAAATCAGAACTCTAAAATCAGATCTCCACTGTCTGACGTAGGTCAGTGGAGATCTCATTTTAATCAGATTCATGAAATAGTAGTATTCAAATCCGCTTCTTTGGTGGCACTCAATAGTTTCGTATTTTGAATAGGCTTAAGATTTTCAAAAGAAAACAAATTTCCCAGATTTTCCTCACTGGTTATAGTTGATTTTAAACAAAACCGTATACATCTTATATATTTTTAAAAGAGCGTTTAATTTCCTTTATGTTGATGTATGAATAATGGGTGTAAATTAGATTATACTGTATGCAACTAGTGTAAATATATATTGAAAAGGTGAATTAGAATTTCACATTCATCGGCTTATAGATAAATTTATGAAATGACAGTAAATAAGCTAACTAGAGTGATATTTGTATTGTGTAATTATTACATTTTTCTTCGTTTTGTTTCAACCATTTTGCTACATAAAATAAGGTATGCTGTGACATTTGACTTGCGTAGAAGATTATGTAGATATTATCGATAAATCGATCGATTATTATATTACCCAATTTCAGCATATAATGATGTTATATTTTATTTTTCCTTCAATAATTAGTGAATGTTAGTTGTTTCAAGCTTTAAAACGTCGTGAATGCAAATGCCTTGGCTCTGGTAACTTTTTGACGCCACCAGTCTTGTTACCTGTGCCAGGTAAAACTGGAGTACTTATATACATGTAAGCAAACGTTGTCTCCCTTGGACCACCCGACAAAATGCGGTGATCAGTGGAATGGTCAAGACCGTATGTCTGTCTGTCTGTCTCTGTCTCTCTCTGTCTCTGTCTCTCTCTGTCTCTGTCTCTCTCTCTCTCTCTCTCTATATATATATATATATATGTGTGTGTGTGTGTGTGTGTGTGTGTGTGTGACTCAACACCTCAACACGAATATACAAAGGAAAGATGAACATTTCGGGATTTTTCATTATATTTGAGATGTGTGTGCTTTTTTAAAAAATAATATTATTTTATAAATTTGGACCGCTCCGGTAACCTAGTGGTTAGAGCATCTGCCTCGCATGTGGGAGGTTGTGGGTTCTATCCCCGGTCGAGTCATACCAAAGACTTACAAAAATGGTACTAACAGCTTCCTCGCTTGGCGCTCAGCATTAAGAGGTTAGTGTTAGCTGGTCGGCCTGGTATCAGGATAATGTGACTGGGTGGGACATCATGCTACATGTCTGTGGCATGATGCCCCAGCGCTAGACATCACTATAAACTGCCACACTGCAGAGAGACATGGTAGCGATAACTAAAAAATTGTTAAAGCTACGTTAAAAATCATATTCACATCACATCACAATTTGTCATTGTCTTCTGTTTTGTGAATCTATGCATATCTAGCTGTTATTAATATATTTTGAAAATTATGCTAATTTTTTTAATATAAAAATTATAGGTGTGTAGAGTTTGAAAAGTTAATAATAGGTTCCCAAGGAAATGTGTGGACAGAGATTGTATAACAGACGTATTTTAGAACAATAAATCATACTTTAAAAGATCTTGATGATGCTTTCACACTCAAAAAATCTCCCATATGAACGTGCTACTCGTAGGAATCGCGCGCGCGCGCGTGTGTGTGTAGTTCAATAAATCAGAGCTGTAAGTAATGCCATTGCCCCAGCTAATGTGTCATCTTAAAGAAGAAAATAAACTAAGTATTTTATTTCATTTTATGGACTCCAAACCTGCAAAACAAACAGCCCTTTGCGTAAATGTTACGTACACAGAAGTGTCTTACGGCACATCAGCACAAAAGTGACCATGTGGTGCTAACAATAGGTCACGTTCATCAACTTTTTAAAAATTAATTGCACATAACTTTTAGGAAGTGAAACCCTTGGAAAAAAATTAAATTCAATACAAGATAAAATACATATACGTTTAGCTGTACATGAAATATTAACATTTCGGTTTTGACTAAATTAGCGTGATGTCATACTTTCCTTATTTTTCTACATAGACCTTCCAAGCAGTTCGTTTTTATGCACACTGTGTTGCGTCGATTAACTCGGTTTTGAAAAAAACAACAATCATTCGGCCGATCAAAGATCTAAATGGGCGGACGCTTTACATATCTCTGGGGATAGATTACCCACGTGAGTTCATTATTTGCTTATTTTTCTCCGTTTTTGTAATTTCTTCTTTCTTGTCTCTTTTCCTTCTTTTCTACAGAAAGGATAGATTGGATCTATGTATTTGTTTGCCTCGGAGCGTACAACATGAGTGTACCAATCTCCCTCTCGTATCTCAATTATAAGCTTTGTTCCATTCAGTTAGTCATTATTATTTTTCAGTATTTTAATATTTTTACAGACACCATCACCTACTAGTTTAAATTTCCTCATATTCATTCATGCTCTATATTAATTACATACGCATTTTGATGTTGGACGGTGAATGCAAGGATAACATTATCATTCTTTAATATGATCCAACACGTTTTATTTTAATTCTTATGCTCTCAAATGCTTGATGAACTAATTTTGTTCATATATGTTTTAGTTAATCAATGAAATCGATGTTTTCGGCATTTGCTTTGTTAATTTTAAATCATAATGATAACTGTTATTGACGTATAAATATGCGACATCAACCATGATAACAGGAACTCAGAAAATAAATAACTCCACACCTGGTAAAATAAATTGTGATGAGTACATTCCGTCTTTATGTTTTATTTCAGCTATTACTCTGATTTCTGATGTATACCCACGTGTTACTTTCCAATATACTTGCTTTTTCTCTTTCAATGAATTACCAAATGTTACTTATATTTTTGTGCTGTTATAAATCAATGGAGGAAACAGTCCTTTGGCACAAGAGTGCCAAAACCACTGGTATGGCGCCGTCATCCATGACAATAGATTTGCCGTACAATGCAGACATCAATTCTGACACTTGTCGTTAGGTAATATGATGTGGCCATTGTCTCTCTCTCTCTCTCTCTCTCTCTCTCTCTCTCTCTCTCTCTCTCTCTCTCTCTCTCTATATATATATATATATATATATATATATATATATATATATATATATATATATATATATATATATATGTTTGTGTGTGTTCTGCTTGTTAAATCATCAAAACACAGTAAATGTAATATATATCGTGTGTTCATTGTATATTTAAACTAGGGCTTCAATAGACTTTTATTATTAATAGTGTAGCTGAAAAAGATACCATTTTTTTTTTTTGCAAGATTACTGGTTTATAGTATTTCCACCATGTATCTGTTTATCTTTGTGTCTATTTTCCCCTATTTTTAATTAATGTTGCTTATATGAACATGAAATGACTGGTGGTACGTGTACGTTTCTACCAAGCGTGATACATGTAATTTTTAATATAAGTGGTATGTGTTCATTTCTACCAAGCGTGATACATGTAATCTTTAGTATAAGTGGCGTGTTCATTTCTACCAAGCGTGATAAATGTAATTTAGTAAAAGTGGTATGTGTTCATTTTTACCAAGCCTGATATATGTAATTTAGTATATGTGCCCTTAAGAAACTTCTCGTATAAAAACTGACTTTTATGGCTTTAATTGTGTTTCTTGATTTCCATCAAAGACAAACAAACTTAAACTAGCACATAAATGGTACGGGTTTGTTATCTTTTCTTTTTGCAAGTATTTAAGGAAGAAATTTCAGATCGTATGGTAACTTTAATTGACACTAATTAATACTGCCTTGGTCCTACGACGTACTTCTTCCAATATCACTATGAATGATAAACTTGTTAATTTTGAAACAAAAGAGCTTTATCGAAACTGATTTCGTTGCAATTTTATATTTTCTACCCTCTTTTTGTTTTCTTCCTGCCCCTTTGTTTAATACATTTGTTAACACCTTACATTCTTAGGTAAACGGGCTAAGGAGATTATCGCTTTACTGACCAAATAAAAATGTCGACCTGACGAAATTATCCTCCGAGGAACCGTCGGTAAAGGTTTATCCGGCAGGAACACCGGTATTAAGGCGGCCAAGCTCGGACTATAACTCCAAACAGCATGAACTAAGGGAAGTTTGAGCTAATCTGACCTTATAATTAGCAGGTTTTTACGTAACGATAAAGGTAAAGCGATAATTATTGGTAGCCTCGTTAGGCCCTTCTTGTTTTCCTGTAGGGGTCCCTATTAAGGGCCACTTAAGACCAGTAAGGAGTGATAGCAACCAATCAATAAAATCGTAACATAAGCTCTGGCTGAATCGTGTCAGAGAATAAATGTCACGGCTTTAATAACTGTAGGAAATTTAATTGTGTACCAGCAGTTTCGATTTTAATATAAGGACCGATATATATATATATATATATATATATATATATATATATATATATATATATATATATATATATATATAAACACATAAGCAGCGATTTATAGAACAATAGAATAATGAGAAAAAAGGAACAATCTAAACCAGTGTTCCGCAACATGAAATCGATAAACTCAGTACGTTTATTTTTTGTCGATCTTCATTATCAGTTATCTGAAGATTTTTCATGAACTTTGTCTTTTCCACAGTTAAGGCAGTGGCAGATACTCTCTAAAATAGCTTCACACAGCGTAACAAATGGCTTAATATCATCGGTGTCATCGTCTGCGTGACGTTTTTATTAATATCGCCATTGTCATCGCCATCTTCTTTTTCAATTAAAGTTTATTTGTTCTCAATCTATATAAGGGCTTGTGTCCTAGTCGTCCAAAACGTCAGCCTTTACCGATCAATGCCATCTCACATCTGTCGTCCGCGTAGGGTCAAGTCTCGGGCTTAACGAAGGTGGATATGTGAGAAAGTTTACCAGTAGCTTCTCGTGGGTTTCTGGTTCTTACACGGGTCTTCTCCGTCTCTTTCTTCACCAATTATACTGACCGACATTCCCCTTCGACATGACGACCCAGCCAAATTCCAACTAGCACAAACCCCAATCCGAACCCAAAATGGCGCCAAAGTGTCATTAAATGAAAAACCCCAAAGCACAACATACACACAAATTCACAAAAACCTAAGAACACAAAAAGACAACTCAAAAATAAGATCTAGCGCCGTCCTACCAAAAGACATGTAAAATCAACAGGTATAACACAACTTGCACAATATGGGTGGGTGGACTCTGGCAAAGTCACTTGAACAAATGTTAATAATAAAAAGAGTGGAAATCTACCCCGGAGAAAATAGCCCTTGGGGGAGAAAGTACAATCCTAAGTTTAGTTAGGGAAGCTTGAACCCAAGCCGACTACAAAGCAATTAGTAGGTCAGAGCGAAAGCCGAAATGACATGGGACAACTTACTATAATGAATTTGATAAACAAAAACAAAAAATAACCCTGAAAAATAAAAACACAAAATTCAAACATATTGGGAAAGGGAACAAAATTTTTAAACTAAAACCCACGCAAAATGGGAAACTTTAGAAAAACAGTGTCACTTCCTGACCTTACCAGCTATGTGCTGGGACTGGATGGATAGCGTCAACAAAGTATAGTTATCATGCACTGAAATATGACGTTAAATCCAGAACAACATTTTATTACTAAAATTGCTACTTTTATCAGTTATGTTAAACAATACGAATTGCGAGCGGCCAAGTTACTTGTTCTTAGTTTTGTCACCTTAACGATGAAAAAATATTTACTTTTTTTAAAGCAAAATAGAAAAACACCTCGCAATGTGCATGCGTATTTGTGAACGAGTTGTTTGTTGCTACTTCGAAAACTGTTGTTGCGAGAGTTACCTCCCATACACCATATGCTGGCGTTGCCAGTTCTTTAAAAAAATAAAATGTAACGAAAGGCCGGGAACAAGAATCATAACACATGTAATGATGTTTACCGCAGAGTGGTTTTCCTCGTGCGAGGTCAACTAAAACATTTCCAAGCACGTTCGGTGTTACATGTATGCCCTTTCCCAGGCTCCCTCCACAAGTAATCCAGATAGTGGAGCAGTAGATCTCGTCAAAACGGAACTTGTCGCATTTTCATATATTTTTTATATCAAATGTACAACAGCTGCTGTCATTATCACTAACTAGTTTCCTTTATTACCGAGAC